GGAAAATCAGGTTCCGGGAATTTTTTATCAAATTGAGATTTTTATTGCATTGTAGTTTTTGATGTTATTAGATTAAAATGTATTAAGCTCTCTTAATTTTAGTCAAAATTTCTCGGAACCTGATTTTCCTAGAAACCCACCATTTAATTTAAATTAGAATTTTTCCATATTAGTGGATATCCCACGCCAAGTCATCATCAAAATATTGATATCAAAATATGAAAAAAATGCTGATTATTTAAATACGAATAAGCACCCATCCTGTTGATTTATATAATTTATTTTTTTATTCTTATTGTTTATATATACATAAATCGTTCCACATATTTTAATAATCAAAATATCAGAATTGTAATATTTAATATTTATTTTAAATATAAAAATAAAGATTTTATTTAATTAAAATTACTTTTGAATATCATCAGAAGAAATTCAGCAAATGTGGTATTTAATGAATATTTGTTGAATTACTATGAATTGAAGATCTTGACGGTTCTATTACATAAATTCAAGATGTTACTTTCATTAAATTTTCTATATACACGAATACTTTGTGACCTATTACTTCCATTATAGAATCTTCTGACACATTAGCAAATATGCTACCTCTTTCGCAAGTATTATCGTAAAACTTTCCTTTTAGTAAAATTTAAAAAGTTTTGCTGGTTCTTTTTGTTCTTCAATTTTCATATAGGTTCATCAGCAACGAAGGCAAATAGCTTTTAGATAATTGTTCTGATAAAAGATCATTAGCATTAGTAAAGCAGATCTGAAGTACTTTTATTAACGCGCTGCTGAGGCATTTTCAATTTTCTAGCCATAAAAAACTTGGATAAAGAATAAGATACAGAATAAAGAAAAGATTCATATCAACATAAACTTTTATATAATTAGAATAGTAAATATGATAAAATTAACTTTTTTTATCACGTGAGTTAATCTCCAGGGGATAAAAAAGTTATTTCACGATGAATATCACAGCGCAGCCTTACATATTTATATGTAAAATCGTAAAGATGTGATTGGTAGTTGCTTTTAAGAAGTAATTATTTATTATCGGATTTCCATATCAGTATGAGAAAAAATCAAAGAAAAAAGTATAAAAAATCAAGAAATGACGAGAACTAATGTCATGTCATAAGTGATAATTTTCAGCTTTTGAAGATCAATTTCGACCAATATTGTTAGGATACCATATTGTTAGGATGCCAGTTGTTCTAATTAAAATTTAATATATATATTCAAAGTTCCTTATGGAACTTTAGCAAGTTCTTTAAGTTGTTACCCTTGCGATATTATTGTTGTTTAATATGTTTATTTATTTTTATTTTTCCGATTATCATTTTGCGTAATTTAATTAATTAGCATTTAGTGATTAGCAATTATTTGAGTTAATAATTGAATTGCGATGGTGTAGGAGCCGATGTTGAGGTAACACTGATTAATTAAATAACATTTACATGAATTGCTTATTAAAATTCCTTCAGTTACATATAAGATTACATAAACGAAAGAATTGAATACAACAGTATTAATAAAATAATACTTTGAAGTCACGTGATTAAATTTTATCGTATAAAACTTTTTTTGTTAAAATTTAAAAGGCGACCCGGTGACGTTAACCTAAATGCTAATGTGCGTGGCCTAGCAATAACAATTGGAGTACAATGCATGCCGCCCATACTATTAGATATGGGGGCCCTTTCTCATATCCTATTTCAAGAGACAATGTCTGAATATATTACCTCTAAATGCGGGACCATGGTGAAAATTTTGAAAATGTGCATTTAAAGAAAGTGTGCAGTTAAAGAGAAATTTTTTATTGGATTACTATATGCATTTGAAAGAAATATATATAATGTGTGCAATTAGAGAGGGTTTCTTTAGAGAGGTTAGACTGTATTAACAGACACGATTCAAGTAGTCGATATTCATGTGACGTGGCAAGATCAAAAAAAGGAACAAGTATATAGCTGTTGGAATAAAAAGAACCTTTTCATGTCTCACGTAGACAATAAATAAGTTTAACAAAATCCATAATTTGTGAAAATTTACCCTCTATTTAAAATTTTTTGGATAATGTGTCTGGATTTAAACTACCATAATTAAAGTAAAGAAAATGTTTTCTTTTATCTTGACAATTGGGAAGTAAGCTATTAAAATCACGTTACTGATCATATGATTTACTATGTTCGTAACTTGATTTTGATAGTAAAACTCCCAATTCTGTTCCATTTAATGTTATGTAATAATTAAGTATTTTACATTTGCAAAAACACTTTTTTTTTGTTCCATTTTCTTATAACAACTTATAAATAATTTGACTCAAAATTTTCAAGTAACACAATTAATGTAATGACGCTAAAACCTCACGACTGGAATTAAAGATATTTTTAAATATAATATGCGTTACTTTATGATATTCACATATATCAGATGGGCTTATATTTTTGTATCATTGCCGAAATAATGAACTTCCTTAAAAAATTTTTGAACTTCATCTAAAGAAAGACGATATTCCAAAAGAGTACTTGGTGTTACTTATAGCGAATAATTGATGCATAACTTAATATCTGCTTTTTTAGTATTACAGTAATTAAAAGATTCGGATGCGTGTAATTGTATGTGTTTATTATATATTAATCCGCGTATCTCATGACGCATGACATATATATGCATGTATGAGCACTGATAGTTTTTTTTCTGACACAAAGATTATGAATGACAAATGAAGAATTGCAAACCTTATTTATATAAATTAAGAATCGTTCCAAGTCAAAATATCGCGTGTAACAAACAAAAAAACAGGTTATTTTGGTAATTATGTGCAACTATGACTAATTAAGATAAACAATGATTAAAATTTTTTAAAATTATAGATTGTTATCAAAACTAAATTCATATCAATTAATGATTATCATTTTATTCATGTATCATTTTTTGAGAAAAAAATATTTTTCTCTTTTCTATTAAACTGTCTTGCATGAAATTCGAAGCATTCTGATATTGAAATGTAAATTGTCAGAAGTTCGATCTCAAATGGAAATTATGACGGAAAATCATGTGAATTTTTCCCTGCATTAGTTTCTGCATTACACTGCATTACTTTTTTTTTTATTATATTTTTCAAAAAAAAAAAAAAAATTCAGAGAATTTGCTTAACATAAGTGTATATATATTTACGTCTCTATTTATTTTCATACGCAACATAATTTCAACAACTTTGGTCAAATAAAACTTCCTTCCATATCAAAGCAAAGTAGTTCAACGGGCATTTAAAGCTTCAATATGACTTTTTGTTAAAATATATGGAAGATTGCTAGGAATGTCAGGCTCTGGGAATTTGTTACAAAATTTTGTTTTTTATTGCATTTTAGTTTTTGATGTTATTTGATTAAAATTTAGTAAAGGTCTTAATTTTAGTCAAAAAAATTCCCCGAGCCTGATTTTCCTAGAAAACATCCCATAAAGTTTTTCAATTACGTTATGTTTAGTACTATTTTATAAATACAATGTGAAAATAAAAAAAAATTTACAGATATAAAATTCTTTTCGTTATTATAAATAATTTTTCCATATGTTAAAGGGTAGTCTCGTGATTTGAAATTACATTTATTATAAAGCGTGCCAATCTTTAAATTGAAATAGTTTGCTTAGCAAATTGAAACATAAATACAGTCGACCCCTATAGAGAAAGTCGGACCAAAAAAAATTAAATTATAACTTCAACCTAACAAAAATTTGTTTATAAAAGAAGTTTTGAGGGATCAACTGTTTTTCCAAGTGAACTAATTCAGCTAATGTAGTGGTTGGAACCGGTTAAAGAAAATCTTTAACCAGTTATTATATATAATTCCGGTCGAAATTCAATTTTAGACCAGAATTAAATTTTTATGATTGACAAAAGATTAGCCAAATTTTATCCGGTTAATTAACCGGTTAACGAATATTTTAACCGGTTATAACCGGTTTTAGTTATCCGAAACCCTATATTTCAACGGAATTTTTAATTTATGCTAGTTTTCTTAGTGACCCCGTCGAAACCCGAGATTTTTGCCAGGCAACTATTTAACCGGTTAAAAAACTTTTAGGCCGGTTTCAACCTATAAAATAATGAAATTCAACTAAGATATGACCATTGAAAAATATATCTTTATGATGAAGATGTGCAGATTGTTGGAGTAGAACTTGGACTACCTTGACCATTTAAAACTGACATATTCATTTTTAAAGTTAACACTGACATTAGGAAAGGAAATTTTCAGAAAGAAAACGAAGAGACTGAGATAAATATTTGTAAGCTTCCATACTTTAATCTGTCGAGGAAAAAACATAATTGGCGCAGCCGCTATTATGACGTAACTTGCAAATCTTTACTCGAATCGTCGTGTTCGAGTATAAAAATATTTTTTTTTCATATATTTCAAATTCTGCTTAATAATTGATTAATTCATACTACATGTGCAAAATTTTATGTTCATAATATCACGGACGGATAATTATATTGTATTGTTGTGGAACGAGCTACGTTCAATTATTTTACGCGTTCCGCTCAATCTTTCAATAATAATGATTGTTTTCCCATTCCTTAGTATTGTTTCTCATGCGATTTAATTATATTTCTATATTATATCTCCGGACATTACAATAAATCCTACTCCTTTTGTGACTTGTTCATACAATAAAGACAAATAAAGCTGGTCGTGACACTGAACCTTACGTATCCTTCCTAATCAAAATTTAAATCGTGAAAGATTGTCATTGAGTGTTACTTGAAAGGCGCTAAATAGGAGCGCACTTTTTTTTTTGCAATTGCAGAAAATTCTTTGTCACTGAATAAAGTCATACACCTTTTAAAACCGCATGATTTTCTTTCTTGTACGACCATAATTCATTACAAAAGTGGTACGCGCAAACCATTAAAGTCAAGCGTACTTATTTATTTTATATGTTAGTTTATAGGGTTATTGTTATTTACCTTGATTCACTTTGGAATCCGCTTAATTCACTTCAAAGTCTGTATTAAAAAAGCTCTCCCATTGGAATCCATATCCGGCTAATCCATCTCGGTTACTTAAAACCCATCGTTTTAATTTGTTGAGTTTCAAAAATGACATTGCAGTTTTGACGTAAAAGTTTAATCCCACTTCACGATGACTCGAAATTTTATGCCGAGATAATTAGAACAAATTTATTTATCATGAATAACGTAAAAAATGTTCTTTATTTATTAAACTGAATCATGGTAACAAAATGATCCCTTAGTTTGCTTAAATCATGATTATAAGTGTAGTCAACGTTAGTTTATACATGACGAAACTAGGATAAAAAAAGAATTATAATAAATCACATGTATAAAAGTAATTCAAATATTCAAAAAAGAAAATAAAGGGCGCATTTTAACATCATGAGAATAATGAATTCAAAAATCGCGTTGATATTCAAATTAGAAGTTCTGATAGTATTGAATAAAGAAATAAATTTTTAAAATTTCCATAATTTGTAGGAAAGAAAAAGTGATGTCATTTCGAATACGAGTTATTACTAGTAAAGCATGACATAAAATGTGTTAAAATCGGTTAATTTAAAAGAAGGATAATATTTTATTAGACGGCTTCTTACCTGAAAAATTTTCTTTTTTCGAATTAATTTTAGAACACATTAAAGCCGGTAATTGTATCCGAAATTGAGGGTTCAATTTCAAATTTTGGTGGGGTTGGAAAAAGGTACCCATTAAAAAAATCATGTACTGAGGTAATATCAGAATTTTGTGTCGGAAGATTCTTGACACGATTCAATAATGTATCATCTTGTTTATTTTCATTTTTTGACGGTTGTTGATTAGAAGACATTTTCAGATATTTTTTTTTTTTTATAACTTTGGATTTTGTCACAAAGAACTGTGTATTTATACATAAAACGTTCATTATGTGTAATATATTTTTTTGTTTACAACTTAAAAAATCTTTACGATCGATATATCGTTTCGTTATTTATATCAACAAACTTTATATCCATATTTGATAACTTGAATAAATTTTTATTTTATGTATTAAGTTAATAACTTAATAAAACCATTTTACTTTGTTTAAATTTTAACAAGTACTACCAAAAAAAAAAAAAAAAAAAAAATGCTTCGGAGTCTATTTTACAAGATGAAACATTTCGTTGTTTAAGTATAAAAAAAAAATTTTATTTTATTAGTTTGTAAAAGGGATTGTCTAAAAATAAATTTCATATTAAAGGGCTGAAACAAACAATTAAGTGATTTATTTTATTACATTAATTACGATTTGTTATGCGTTATATTAAACTTTAGTTAGAAAGTGTTTATCATATCTGTCCTACAATGTTCGGAAGACGGCCCGAATTAAATTACATAGATTTATAAGAGACATAGGTCAAATTTCATATTAACGTATTTTTACATCAAAGGAAATTTACCAAACATGGTAAAAAAAAAATATATATATATTATGACCGAAGATTTATTTTATTAAGTTACAAGTGATTGATTCGATTAAAATTTTACATGAAACTTATAACATTTCTACTTAATGTTCGAAATTATATTTGGAACTAAAAGTTTAACCCAGTAATTGTGATCAAACATTGTCCTTTTCCCGTAAACACTTTAATCAATTCGATATTTATATATCGAGTTGCGCCAGAAAATCGTTAATGAATTATCATTGAAACTAATTTACGAAATAAAATCGTCAAGAAAATAATTTTATGTTAATTGGAAATTAAGCACTTTTCCCTTTCGAGGTATTGTGTATTCTATCATTAATAAATGATTGAGGATATTCACTTATATTTAAGGAAGATTGTTTGTTGAAAATTTCAATCAATGCTAAAAGACAATTATTATCAAAAAAAAAAGATTATGCTTACAGCTCCTTGTATTTATACAAACGGATTCTTTTTCGTATGAAATTATTTGTGAATTGATCAGCAATAAATATTTTTTATTTTAAATGAATTAAAAGTATTTACGTTACACGAAACTTACATAACTGTTAACATAATCATTGTTAAAAATGATGAACAAAGGATCACAAAATTATTTTTACAATTTTTTTTATATCCGTGTACTCTAGTACTTTCAAAAATAACTACTAAGGGGGTTTTTATTTCAATGATGAGATGATTACTTATTACCGATACAAATAAAATAAATCCCCAATTATAGAAAAAATTTTTCGATGACTTGCATCAAAAAAATTTCCAATTAAAGATTATACCGAAAACGTATTTATTGATAAAGTTACTCATTGAAATGTATTGAAATGTTTTGATAGAAGGAATTCTATTATTATAAAGAATTTTTTTTTTGCTTATTCACATTTGCTTGTCATTTTACTAAAATAATATTTAGCCAATCATTGTTAGATATTTTTTTCATTTTCCATTAAATACTAATTGTTCTTTTTTTCCTTAATAATCAGATGCTAGACACATAAAATGGTTTAATGAGGGATAGGTATAGAATCGAAATTATTATCAAAGTTGAATAAATATTTTTTTTTATTTACAATGAGTAACATAACACGAATATATATATAATAAATTTTGTATCTTTGCTATCGTTAAATAATATTTCTTAATGTTAATTTGAGTATTAGCATATTTGTCATACATATAGTATATGTATGCATGTTTATCTATATTTGTAGCATAATCGATATTTTGAGTTATTAACAAGGCATCATGTGCGTTTCATAATAGAAAATGAACCGCCCAAATTACATTTTGCCCTTTAAATTTATGATGATTTATTTAGTATAAATTGTTGAAAAAATGTATAATAAATTTCATGTTGCGATTTATTTTCCTGTAATTTTCTATCATAACACATAACGGACGCAATGAATTTTCCGTGTAACAATCTGCCATTTGTGAAGTCCTTTAAAGACTTTTTAATAATTAAAAGCTCATCAATTTCTTTTTTGAATAAAGATTACCTTCCGACAATGTCCGAATATATAAAGAACCCGAATATATATTCTTGAAAACCAAATCACTTGCATAACTATTGTGCATTGTGTGATGATTGCAGATTAAGCAGATCGAGACTAAAAAAAAATTTTTTTTTAATTCTAATGCTAGTACCCTTGCTACAAAGAAAAAAAGAATATTTTTTTTTTTTTTTTGTTCGATTTTAAATATTTAAATATGCATATAAAAAATCTAAAATTTTTTTATAGTTTTCTTTCATTGATTTCAAACAAAGAATATAATTGAAGTTTTGTAACATTTTTACTTATTATAAATATTTCTTAAAAAAAAAAAAAATCTCATAGGCACGCTATAGAATCTAAAAATAACTGTAAAAAAATAAAAACGATGTGATTGATGATATGAAACGAGATTGAATTCCCCATCTTTTGATTATTCTTTCATCTTTAACATATGTCATAGACGAAATATTTTTTTTTATAAAGTTTGAATCAAACCTTATTATGCCTACGGAATCTTTGTCCATGATTTCCTTTTATTGTTTGATTATAGGTACTATTTGTCTTATTTAAAACTGATTGAGTTTTTTCTTATATGATAATCACTGATCATCGTAACAAAAGAAATTTATATTTAGAAAGTTTTAATTAATTCATGATTATCAGGATTGTGACTCGTCACTGTTATCACGCAGTAAATAATTCATAATTTTTGTCAGAATAAAGACTGAGAATTAATTGTTACTAATCATATTTTTGTGACCAAAGATGGTGAATTTAGATAAATAAAATAAAACTTATTACATAAAATATCTATGTTAAATAATTTAGCCGCAGTGGGGATGTTTGAACAAACAGAAATAGTCTTTGCATAATTATAAGTAAATGGCAAGTCGTATTAAAAATCATTAGACGTGGAAATGAGAACTTTTTTATATTTAAGACATACAAAAGTGTTAAATCTTTTTTATATATATATATATATATATATATAAATATATATATTACAGTGCTAATTATCTATACTGTAAACTTTCGATATTAGCATTTAACGCTCGATATTTCGTCCTTGCCATAGAAAATTGCCGAACTTGGGCAATTACCCAAAAAAAAAAAAAGTAAAAAAATGGAGATTATGGAGATTACGGTTTAAAAAAAAAACTATAATTGACTTTAGTCAGTAAGCACATTTTCAAAAGTTCATACATGGAAGATTCTTTTTTCGTAAATTAATCTTATATAATTTTTTTCTTCACATTTGACCATATTCTTTTCGTGAATGAACTATGTATTAGTTATTTCCCGATTACTAACGCCCCGTGATAAGAAAAATCACATGATTATGTAAGTCACATGACATGTTATTGTAACGTAAAAATACTTTTTTTTTTAACAATTTTATTTTTAATTTTATTTCTTAAAAAATGAAATCAAAGAAGACCGTAAAATTTAATACTGCTCGTGAACTTTTAAATAATCCATGTTTACAACCTAAACCATCCAAAAATACTGACATTGAAAAGGAAATTTTATTCCTGTGCAACAAATTAAAGATTACAATAAGAAACCATTACAATTACAAATCTTGAACCACAAGATTTACCTTAATATGTTTTTAATGATAGTAGTAAAGAAAAGGCTCCGATGTTCAAAAATTGTCATTTTCAAAATGTTAACTTTTATTTTAAATAATTTTTATTTATAATTATAAATAATGCTTTTAATAATATAATATTTTAAATGCTTTTTATATCAATTTTATTAAAAATATATTAAACCTTTTACAATTAGTAAGCGGAATATAATATATCTTAATCAATGAATATTGTATAATAAAATTGATGAAACAAAGTTAAAAGAATATTGGAACCATATTCAATTATTTTTTTTTTGTAATCGACGCAATTGACATAGTAACGATCTAATTTACTAAATTTTCTTTCAGTCGTGGTAAATATTAAAAAAAAAGTGGTTACTAACAAGAAGCATCTACAAAAGTTCTTTTGGAAACTTAGCACAAGTAATAAACTGTAATTGTTTGCTGTGCGAAAAAAGGTTAGTTATTTTTATTTAATGTTGGTTTCACGAGTCATTTCCATCGGTTCAAAAAAACAAACACATTAAAAAAAAAATTGTTCACTCCATATAGAACCAAGTACCTAGTATCTTTTTAGATCCAAAATTCTTAATAACATAAAGATTCATGTTACGCAAAATTATTTTTCTTCAATAACAATTTTTAATGCACATAAGTATACCAGTAATGACTTTTATATATAAGGTACTGTATATAAATATATATAAAAGAAAATGTTTTAAATATACATAAAATGAGTGAATGCTGCTATTACTTTTAAAGGAATATTGATTGAAGGCCAATTTCAAAAGTTTTGTTACATTTATAAAAGAAAATGAAGTTATTGCAATAAATTTAATGAGACTTGAATATATGCAAATAACGTTATTGTACCGCATATTCCAAAAATTAACGGAAAGATTTTTCATTGAGGATTATTTCGAGAATGATAATAATGTAGAAACCTGTTTAAGTAATGGTGACATTATGCAAATTTACAATTTTAGATTTTTTTTTTTAATGTCTCAATCATAACGATGAGAATAAGGTGGAATTAAGTCCAAATTTTGAAGCCAGGCCCGGTTCTGACTTAATAATATGACAAGACCTATAATTAATTTACGCGAAAAATTAATTTATTTTACAAATATCTATGGCAAATAAAATCTAAAAAAAAAAATATATTGAAGTATACAATGTAAATCCATTTTAATTCTCCTTCTTTAGACTAAATTTGGAAAATTTATTTCCTATTAATTTTTTAAAAAAAAGTTTCAATAATGTAACGCGAAAAATTTAAAATAATCGGCAAATT